AATCTGAAATAAAAATCAAAGAGATAGTTTTAAAAATGTAGTTTTTTTAGAGTTTGACAAGGAGAGTGCCTACATAATCCTTGAATTATTCTTCAGAAAATAAATACAAGATAAGACAAAAACTTATAGTTACGAATAAAAGACGTTGTACGGCTATGTTTTTCACTCGAAAAAAACGAACACAAAGAAAATAAAAGGAGTCTCGACTGGGATTCGAACCCAGGTAGTATCCACAACTGGTAACTAGACAGACACTTTAACCAGCTAAGCTGGGTGTGGGTGTGAGTGTATGTGTGGGGATCTTTCAAAATAATTACCCACACCCACACCCACCCTCAAGTTTTTTGAATTTCTTCATAGCATTTTAGCATTTAGTATACAGCATCGTGAAATCTTCAGCTGCTTTGAAATTTGAACCTGATTGAGCCCAGCATAGTTTAAAGCTACCACCTGGGCACGAATAAATGGATAACTAGGCGTTTTGTTGATAAACAGTTAGAATAATAGTAAGCTAACCAAAATATATCTAAAAAACAGAAAAAAATGTTGCCTTCTCTATTTCTTTTCAGCATACAGCAAAAATATCAAAAGGTGTCGTAAAATTTTGATTGTTGGAGACAAAACAGATCTCTCATAAAGAAGTGAAAAAGTTAACACTCAGAAATTCATGCACATCAGTCTGATAGTCCATTTTAAGAGCCATCAAAATCATTATATGGATGTCATTATCGAATGGTATTTCACAGAGAAAACTAAAAAACCAAAAGTGCCTTAAACTATTGATTTCCACTTTATATTGTATGCACTTTATATGATTATAGATCTATTCTAGCAAAAGTAAGGTCTATAACTAATCAATGAGATCTCTAGAATACAATGCTTTGATTTAAGCTACACTTTAATTTTGCATTATAGGAAAAATATCACATATAAGGAAAAGTGAGACGTTTACCAGAGTCAGACTCACACTTAGTCAAACAAAGACTTAGCTTAACTGAATTTTTAAATACCATGTTTCAGTATTATCTATGCATCAATTCAATATAAATTCTGATTACCGGCCAAATTAATCTCAAAGAAGAACATATCAGACAAACATCATAAGAAAAATAATAGTTGGATCAGTAAGACCAACTTATGACCTTGGAATGTGATCAGCGGAATGTTATTAAGATTTGTTTTTCAAGATTTGTTGTTTATATTGAAAAACTGGAATCTATCTTTTGCAGCATATAACGTAGTTTGACCGCATTATAAGAAAATTACATTGTGGAGTACGCATTCTGCATCCTGAATTAGTTTTATTCGCCGTAATCTTGTCTTCGTTTTTATTTGCAGTTAGGCGCTTCATCTATCTTCATTTTTAGTCTTGTATTTTATGCCAAAATGCAAACCGAGATTCAAAGCAAAATATGGAAAACATGTCGGAATAAATTGCGTTGTGAGAACTGTTCTAATTATGTGGCTATGCACTGTTTGAATCAGAGCATTATATTCTAGAGACTTCACTGATTCTTTACAGACCTTACTGTTGCTAGAATAGATCTATAATCATATAAAGTATGAACAAAAAGTAATGTTAAATTATTCTTAATAAATTATTCTATATATATTCATAAAACAAGAAACAATTGTTTTTAAAATGAAAAGTTACCTATAATTTTATACATTGTTTTTAATATCATCAATTAACTAATATTTATTTTGTATTTAATTCAATTGAAGAAACTTCGAGAAATTTTTTGTTGAAGTTGCAACTTTATCGACTGATATCACTTCAATACAACATCTATATATATAGACGTGCGTAACCATAGGGTACTCCGATTTCCTTTCTTTCTATTATCAGTTAGAAAACCTAACCATATTCGGGCCAAATTATTACCCTCATCGCTAAAGTTCTAAATTCAAAATATTAGCTGCTGATGGCTGTCTTATATGAAATTATTCAGTCCCTTAAAAACGATAGGACACGATTTCAGGAACTGAATAGTTTCATATAAGTCAGCCATCAGCTGCTAATATTATAAATTTGAATGCTTAGCGATGAGTGTGATAATTTGGCCAGAATATGGTTAAGTTTTTTAACTGATAATAGAAAGAAAGCAAATCGGGGTACCCTATGGTTAAGCACACTCATATAATGTTCAGTGTGTGTCTGTGCCGGGTCAAAGATCAAATATTAAAGGTTGTAAGGCTATAAGAGGGTAAGGCCATACAGCGGTAAGACTATGAGGGGTACAAGGCTACAAGGATATAAGGCTATAAGCAGGCAAGGGTACAAAAAGTATAAAGCTAGAAGGGTATAAGGGTGTAAGAGGATAAAGCTATAAGGGGGGTAAGGCTACAAGGGGGTAAAACTGTAAGGGAGTAAGGCTGCAAGGGTATAAGGCTATAAGGTCTATCTATATTTATATAATACGAAGTGTCTGATTGTCTGTTACAGGGTCAAGGTTAAAGCACAGATGTGAAACTTTACAGAAAAAAGCAGCCGTGCAATATGCACGGGATCTCGCTAGTATATAAATAATGATACCTTTTTGACAATGGTCAAAAACATCTCGAGTAAAACACATGCAATACTTCGTTGGTTTACTCGGCGTTTTTTAAGGAAGACGAAATTAGTAAAGCATCAGACGTACTCTTCAAAATTGATATTTTCCGAAAAATATGACAAGAAATCTGTTCTTATTGTTTTTACGCATAATACCTCAAATCCTTTATTCATTAGTTTGAAATTAAAGGAGATTACATGGTCTTATTATCAATTGTAATGATAACAATTTTCAGTTGAAACACTAAACTATTCCACTCATTAAACATGATGACCAATTTGTATCAAAGACTCGGAAACGTATTTTTAATAGATGAAGAACTCTGAGTGAATTATTCGTCATAAAACAAATGCTTGATTATGCATTTTTTTCTAACTAAAACTATATAGATTAATTTGTATCCGTTGTTCTCAACATTTATCTGAGAACATTGCTGTGGGATAACGGCAACATGTGTGTCATTAATGTAAAATGGGTTTTGCTAAAAACTTGTAATAGAAAAAAGGTTACCTGTTCAGAAGTTTTCAACAAATCTCGTCGTTCATCCATTGCAATATAAAGGATATAAAATTTCAAAAAAAGTTTCGTAGGAAACAGTTATATATTAATGAAATTTATGTTAAGAAAACCGACATAAAATTACAAGTAACGTTCATCGTCAAGCGATTCACTTAGCCCTAGACTGATAGAATACATGTACGGATGTAATAGCATAAAAAGCTACATTAAAAAAGTAATACGCAAAATTGATAATATGACCAGTATATCTTAGGCGAGCAGAAAACTTAATTTGGAGAATTCTCATTCTAAGTAAAGATAATGCATTTTACAAATTTTATTTTTTTTGTCGTTTTTGTTTTATTTTTTTTTTGCTTTTATAAATATAAATAGCGCCCAATAAGATTAAACAAGAATAAGATTTTTTTTGTTATTATATTGGCGCTTTTTGTACGTACAAAAATATGAATTATATTATTCATAAAATTTGAGTTTTATTAATCAATATTTTATGCTTCAATTCGCGCATTAATTCTAAACTATTAATAAATTAGATATTCATTGATACAACATTGCACAATCAATCCTACAATAATGAATAATTTAAACGATTTCTTTAAATCCATACTGCTCATTTGATCTGACTCTCACTAATTAAATGCTTTTGTAAGCCGTTTTACACCACTACCCGAATTATAGTTATTTCATTCACATTTTACCGATGATTATTATGGGTTCATTTACATCAGTCTTTAGATGGTCATTTGTGCCATAGTTACCGGAATAGTTGTTTGTACCATGGTTGCTATATGGTCACCTGTGCCATAGTTACGTGGTCGCTTGTACCAAAAAAATGACCGTTTGTGCCATAGTTACATGCTCATTTGTACCATAGTTACCTAGTTAATTTTAGTAAAAAAATGGCCGTTTGTGCCAAAAAAATGGTGACTTGTGCCAAAAAAATGGACACATGCGCCAAAAAAATGGCCATTTTGACCGCGTTACCGACAGACAGACAGACAGACAGACAGACACAGGTGAATTTCGGTTTCTAGACCCTAGCCTTTCAGTCTAGGGAACATAAAAAAGAATTGATAGATAAAGAAATAGTGTTCATAGTATATTGAACAAATTCCTATCATATGAACAATTCAATATAAACATTTTAAATTACTTTGATAGTATCATGAGAAGATATCTCCGCATGAAGTATTGGCACTAACATTACGCATATTGAAGATCTTTAAACATATCTCAGATCAAATAAAGCAGTATAATAAAAGTCCAACGTGTTGAAAAATGGATGATTATACACAGACAAAAATATCAACGTTACAGAAAACAATACTATAAAAAATTATCGTTTATTACTTTTCAGATATTTATCATTTTAAGATTTCACGAAGAACTTTCTTTCTACTGAGCATGGCCACAGGAGGAGAAGAAGTGACAGCACAAAGTATATTACGCATTATTGACATAGTAGATGAGCCGCTGGAATTTCTTGCACCTATCAGCGGTTATGGAAAAATGCCTCTTGTTTCGCTCGAACAAGCAGTCGAACCGCTTGTTCCTATTCTACCAGCGGTTCAAGCTCATGTATATGTAGCCAAACAAAGATGTAAGAAACCTGCCGATGAATTGACACAAGATGAATCAGCCTCGATTATGCTTTACACGATGGGATGGAAACCAATTGACGAGTGCCTCTATGTGGTCTTGAATAATACATTGCGAGCACCGGATCGAGAACACAAACTCGAACCGTGGTATCTTTATTTGAGACTTTTTCTAAATGCACTGTTTCGCCTGCCATCGCTTCCCACAACGGCATATAGAGGTGTTAAATTAGATCTGAGCAAGCGATACAACGAAGGAGAAACAATCGTCTGGTGGGGTTTCTCATCTTGCACAACAGCTATTCGTGTTCTAAAATCAAATCTATTTCTGGGAAAAACAGGCTCCAGAACAATGTTTACCTTACAATGTAAATCAGCTAGAGACATTCGTAAGCATTCGTATTTTCCAGCTGAAGACGAAGTACTTCTTATGGCTGCAACTCAATTCAAAGTACTCGGTTGCCTTGATCAAGGTGATCTTTACATTATTCAATTGGAAGAAACTCATCCACCATTCCCACTTTTACAACCTGTACCAGTTGTTGTTCCACAACCGATCAATCCAACTCCGTCAAGTAAGTGAACACAAAAACAAAAGAATATTCCATTTGATAAATAACGCTCTAACTTTCGATACTACAAAGAAAATCAAGAATTATATCTCTCGATCAATGTATCATAAAAATTGAACACAAAGAATCGATTTTCTACCTATCCAAAAAAAACAACTTTCAAAACATAAAAGAAAATCGAGTTTGTTTAAAAGATCAGAAATAAAGGATATTTCATGAAAATTTTCGATTAAATTCAATGAAAACTTTAGTTTCGAAGAATGATTTTCATAAAAAATCGATTTTGTCCGAGTAATCGATTAAAAACCTCATCAGTTTCAACCATTTTTTTGATTCATCTATTGAGCTCTGTTTTTTCTCGTTAAATCTAAATAATGGTAATTTCCATTTTTGCTGACGGCGATTCTCGCCGATTCCAATATCGCCGAATGAATTTATAACCGAAAAGTACGGGATAAAATTTGATTCATTCTATATTTAACATTTTATAATAATTAATTAGTTTATTATCAAATCGATTGATTACCAACTCAGATGGTAACCAACTGAGTTGATAACCATCTGAGTTGGTAACCATCACACTTGATAGCCAACTCAGTTGGTAAGGGTGTTGAAGTGGTGTGTAGATGGAGGTGTGTTTATGGGTGTCGGTGTGTACATGGGTGTCGGTGTGTACATGGGTATCGGTGTGTACATGGCTCTTGTCATACTACATACGCACACATTTACTAGTTGAGTTGATAACCAACTTAGATAGTTACCAACTCAGTTGATTGTTAACCAAGATGGTTACCAACCCAGCCAGTAAGTGTGTGCGTGTGTGGTATGAGAAGAGCCATATACACGCCCACATCCTTACCAACTGAGTTGGCTACAAAGTGAGATGGTTACCAACTCGGATGGTTACCAAGTAAGGTGGTAATCAATCGATTTGATAATAAACTAATTAATTATAATAAAATGTTAAATATAGAATGGATCAAATTTTATACCGTACTTTTCGGTTATAAATTCATTCGGCAAAGTTGAAATCAGTGAAAATCGTCGTCGGCGAAAATGGACTAATTCGTTACATGCACATGTTATATATAAAAGTGTACACGTTTTTGCTTGTTGGTTGGTATAAATCAACTTCTGTTCCGTATTTAACTATTTTTCATTCACGTTTTAGTGACAATGTGAACATAAATGTGATGGGCAATTCAAATCTGTGTAAACCTAAAATAAGAAAATGACAAGAGCTCATTGAAAAATCGTCTGATTTACTTTTTCATTTTTTTTATCAATACACATTCCTGAATTTCTACAAATTCTTGTCTAAATACAGATTCTTGAGTTTTATGGTCTCCTCTGTTTCAATGAGTTCCTAGGCCTAGTTGATGTGCTTGAAATCTTTAAGTTTCTTCACTTCATTGAACTTCGATGGTTCGTGCAATTCGTGCCGTTTCTAATATTCTTATCATTGTATCTCACTTTCTTCAGTTTCTAGAGTAGGTAGAATATTTTGGACTCTCTGACTGCTGTCAATAAGTAAATCTGGTAAATCTATGGCATATTAGTTTGCGATATTAAACGCGATAAAAAAACAATTTCAAGAAGCCCACAGAAGATTGTAATTTGACACATGGTTGCTGTATTACATGCTAAGTTTTTTTCAGCTGCATCCACTTCTGCAATGAAGAGCAATTTTAAAGTGATAGGACTCAAGAGATCTGTTTTGGTTGATAGGTCTCCTACGATGTCTTTGATACGACGAAAATTAGTTTCGAGACACGTAGATGAGCAATAAGGTTTTCCTAAACAGCGATAGTGGGAATTCCGATAACAGATATGCATCAGGTTTAAGGGATGCTCATAGAATCTTCTCAAGACTATTCATTCTAGGCTTCTGAAAAATCTTGCTATTTGCAAGCTGAAATTCTCCTCTCATATAGATTTAAATCCTACTAATGTCCATTTCAGAGATAGATGGCCGTGGGCATCTTTTGATTAACTTTTGATAGAAACAAGATAGAGAGCTGTGGTTTTCACCTTTGGAAAGAGGCTGATTCAGCGCATCGATTCATATAAAATTGTTAAGGTTTATCTCAAAAATAGGTAGTGATCCATTGTCATCTTGAAAGAGTAGAATATTGCTCTTTGAAGGTAGAGCAAATCTTAAACTTTGAGGAGTGCGCTAGAATCGCCAGCTCAAGAGCTACAAAACTATATATAAGGCTTGGTTCAAAGCTTTACTGGTTTGGGAGTTCTAGGTACTATATTCGACAATTCCAATCCACTTTGCCAACAATTTCTGTAAAAAAAACTCAGTTTTTTTGAGTTTTTTCGTTTTTCCTGGAAAAATCAGACCCGTTTTTAAGGCATTTCTTTGTTCAATTATTGCAAAAGGTTTCAAAAGTCCAAGTTAAAAGTCATTGTCTTATATGGTTCGATGCGTTTTCATCTACTCTTTCCAACGGTGAAAACCGCAGGTCTCTATCTCGTTCTTATCAAAAGTTATTCAAAAAATGCCCACGGCCATCTATCTCTGAAATGGACATTAGGATCCTTATACGAAGATTTGAGGCAGACCTTAACAAAACCCTGATAAAACCTTATCAGAAACTACTTCACAATTGCGCTCAAAATCCTAAGTAGGATCGAGTGTAAATCATCCTGATATCCTGCACTCCTGATATGCAAAAAAAATCGCTCCTGGAACTTGTAGAAAGTTCAAGAAACGCCACGCGAAGATCATCAATCCATCCTTGTGTTTTCCTATGGAGATCCTTGTAACGACTTGAGTTGCTTTGCGAGGACTTGGAATACTAATTTTTCGAAACGTTCGAACATAATCTTACTTAATTACAGTGAAGATTCCGACAACAGATATGTATCAGGTTTCAGAGATCCTTATAGAGTATTCTCAGGATTTTTTAACGTGGAATTCTTAGAAATGTCGTTATTTTCTAGTTGCCAAGTCAGACAGGACTCCTAAAAAGCGTATTACAACGCGCTGAAATTTCGTTAAAACGGCGCTTTAAGAGCCATGGTTCGCTATTATAGCGTTTTCTCTCTGCAAGTATCAATCGGTGAAGAGAAAACTTCATAGGACAACAAACTTTATATAAGCTTTGTCCACAGGCTGAGTGTTCGTTGCATATGGACATTATTAATTAACTGTATACTTAATCTGCTTTCCAAGTTATATTCGCGTCCGTTATTTCCTATGTCTGTGCGAAATATATATTATAAGCAGTAGAAAATACAAGTAAATTTATGATAACTACAATGCTAAGTAATTATTCAATTTTGCTTCGATAACATAGCTTGATATCGATATAAATTGATAAAATATAATCAGTGTACTATAATGAGTTTCCACTAAAGGCCATCTTTTCCAAGAAAGTCAATTTTCGTCAAAAAATTAAAATTAAGATAAATTCATGGAAAAATAGCTCGAGATCTGATCTTTCATAAATGGCATGATTCTTTTTATTCGGCAACTCCTTTTTTATCAAACTTTTTGATGATCTCTGTCATCATCTGCCTGAACTATATGCTGTTTTTAGAAAAAAGTGGGAAATGTTTTTTATTTTCTCTCTGTTTATGCTTTTTTGATCGACTAACCCAGAAACCTATGCGGAGTTTTATTCTATATACTTAATGTTTAGGATTAGAGCGTCAATTTTTGAAAATTTTTCGAAGTATTGAACTTGTCATCTTTTTTCTCCACATGAAAAAGTAAGAATTTAAAAAAACAAGGACTTTGCCAAACACTTCAGTTTGACATATTCGAATACAAAGAAGTTCAATCTTCAGAATGAAGGTCAGTAGAGAATTTCGAGTTGCCAAATGAGCTATCTTTGACGCTTGTTTTCTGAATACACTACAACCCCAACATATTCATATAATATCAGGTAATTTGACAGCAAGTGATGAGAAGTCGATTTTTGAAGAAGTGAGTGGTCTCAATAGAAAATTCTGAAGTGTGCTTTCTTATGAGATTAGCCTTCGACATCAGTGAAAAGTGTTTGATTTGCGAAAACGGAAACACTTTTAGGATCATTTTTTTTGAAAAAAAACATAAAAATATCTCAGAAAAGCCCAGACCGATCCCCGAAGGTAAATGTATGTCTACCGAAGCCGATCAGTCGTCTACTGTTACCGGCTCCAACAGTGCGACGACTTCAACTTGCTTAATATCTTATTAAATTAATGAGTCATTGATATTTAAGAGAAATCTTTTTTGTTAAAAGGAAGCAAATGAAAGCGCATTAGGCTTACCAGTATATATTCTTAAATAAAGTATATTAAAAATTGAATTTCTAAATTTGATGTGACACGTTGATTTAACGAATATAAATCGAGCGAATTCAGCGACTAGCCAACATTGTCAGACAATATCATTTCTTTCTTTTCTGATAGACCCTAACAATGGAACTGTTTATACTGTCAGTCGATTTGTTTAACTAAATTCGAGTCATATTATCGCCCTCAACGAGGAACTACCAAACTAAAAATATGAGCTGCTGATGGCGAGCCTGGATCGAAATATTCGAATTTCAAGGTATTTACAGTATGTGTAGGATACGGGTGTGGGTGTAGGGTGTGGGTGTGGGTGTGGGTGGGTGTGGGTGTGGGTGGGTGTGGGTGTGGGTGTGGGTGTGGGTGGCTGGGTGTGGGTGTGAGTGGCTGGGTGTGGGTGTGAGTGGCTGGGTGTGGGTGTGAGTGGGTGTGGGTGTGGGTAGGCGTGTGAGCGCAGGTAGGGGTGTGAGTGCGTAAAGAGAAGATGAACACCCACACCCACACCCACATCCACACTCACACCCATACACACCCACACCCACACCCACACCCATACACACCCACACCCACACCCACACCCACACCCACATCCACACCCACACCCACA